CCAGTAACTCTGAATTGTAGATTCAGTGCATAGTCTGAAAATATACTTAAAAATATTCAGACAAATTGCTCTGAAAACTTGATTCAGAGTAAAGAGTCTGGATTTTCAGTCTAAACTTCGAAAATTTCGAGTAATAGTCTGAAAACAACATTCAAAGTACCGATTCTGAAAAACATCTACTGAATTTTCAGAATTTTTTTTACAGTGTGTGTCCCGCGGTTACCTTCAGTTTACACCTTGAAGTACGTTATGATGCCCCCCCCCCCCTTTCTCCCCGACCATAGCCTACACGCTGACCTGATCAGCGACGCCCGGCCACGCCCTGCCACAGCGGCGATCATTAGAGAAGAGTGGTTTAGGCGGCTCTGTCGGGCCTCGTGGATAGACAGGTCGGCCTCACCTATGGATGTGAATGCTCGTTTGTCACTTCGCTTTCGGATCATACCACGCTACACTGCACATAATCGTGTGCGCACTGTGAAAAACAAAATAAATAAAAAGAGCAAGCGCTTATGCGATCGAAAACCCATTGACCTGCTATATGGGACGCCCGCCACCTGCCTGTTGGCAATTTTGCCAAATTGTTTTTCCCCAATCGGAAGTATCCTATTACGCGGCGGGAGCCCGGTAGTGAATACCGAATGGAGGAGAGATTTGGGGGGGGGGGCAGGAAGCCGCGCATAGCGGTGCAGCCTTCAGGCGCGATGCATTCCGATCGGCATGAAAACAAACGTAGCGCCAACTGGCCGAAAAGCAAGCCCCCCCCCCTCTTTCTGACTCTCTCGCTCTCTTTCTCCTCGCTCACTCCTTTCTCTCTCCCCCCCCCTCTATCTCGAACGACAGAGACGGAGCGTGGCCGCCGCTTTGCATACGGGCCGGGCGGCCGGGCGGGGCCAGGACGCTGCTGAGGTCGAGGAACGCGCAGTGATTACAAACGAGTCGCTATTCCGGGGCGCTGCTGCCGCTGCAGGAGCTTGCCAACGTCCAACGGCGCGCTGCAGCGGCCCGCTCGTCATCGGGGCCAGAAACGGAAGTATGGGGAAAGTTTCGACGCTTTTCAAATAAGTTTTGGCGGCATTGCAATTGTACTTCACCCACCTTTTCACGTTGTAGTATTTCTCCGATATCTCGTCCTCAGGCATGCCTGCGTGGCCCCGAGTGGCGCCGGTGGCGCCAGTTTCGCTATGAACAAGCAGTGTTGACAACTCTAGTTGAAAAAATTGAACACGATAGTTGAAAAAATTGAACACGATCACTGTGAAAACTTTTCCTTGACGCGTGTCGTTAAATTGCAATTCAAGATGGTAAATTACCAGCACTGCACGACTTGTAATTCATCGACGAGAAAGTTATGGGTGACATTAATTTACAACATATCTTGTAAATGTTAATTACAAAATATTTCGTAAATTTACGACGATATTTTTCACAGTTGATCGCTTGTCTCCGATCACAGACTCCATACTGGCGTGATGGCTCCATGTGCAGCAATGGCACAAGGTCGGCATGTCTCGTCTCGGTGTGACCCGCGAGCGGCGGCGGCGGGCGCGCAAAGTTCGGTCGCGTGTCTCTGTAGAGCGCCAGCGATGGCAGCAGAGAGTGGTTTCACAGGTCTCTCTCTCCCCCAACTCCGCCTCTCCGCGAGTTGTTGGTCCTTTGGGGACGACGGGCGGGGCGGGCGGAGGGCCGCCGAGACGCCCGCCCGCCCCGCGTCGCCGTCGTGTTCAGCGGGGCTCATCCCGCCCGATGACGACAACATACATTTTACAGCCAGTTTGTGTCCGCGCTGCGCTGCGCTGCGCGGCTATACGGGCGGGAGGAGATGAAGTCGAACTGTTTGTCCAGGAGTGCTCCAGGAGAAGGAGCTCCGACTCCGCATTCCGACTTTATCCTGGGTGGCCCGGCCCTTCCCCTGCCCCGCCCGCCACACAGCCAGCTTCTCCTGCGGCGGCAGCGGCGCGGCAGCCAGCTACTTTTGAAATGAGCGTGAAATGGACTGGCGCTGTTCGCTCGGCTCGCCGTGTTCCCATCCGAATGTGGAACGGCCGAGCCGCGTCGTGTGCTGTCCGCATCTGATTGTGTTTCTTATTTGACCGGGTCCAGCCCCGCCCCGCGCTGACGCCTCGCGCCCCACCCTTTCTGTCCAACTTATGAAAGGGGCACTGTTGTAAAACGGACCTCCCAGCAGGAAACCGATTAACTGTCGTAAGAGAGAGGAGGAAAAAAAAATCGATTTCACGACAACGTTGGTCCTCGCTCGGCCGCATGCCGAGCCATGGCTCGGCCAAGTCGGAACACTTGATCCAACTCAAATAACAATTTCGGGCGAAATTAAAAATGGAAAGATAAAGAGGGGATAAAGGGGAGTGCTCGAGGGCAGTGCGGCGCTGCGCGCGGCGCACAAGAGAAAAGGGCCGGGAGAGCGGGAGGGGAAGGTGAGTGAGGGGGAAGTGAATGGCACGGCCGACCAATATCCGATAGCGGACAAATATTTTCCCTGGCAGTGTACGTAAGAGAAAAGGCTTTCATTCCGTGGTATTTTGAACCCATTAAAACATTTTTGCTGCTTGAGGAGACGTTGGGGTCGTTCTGCCGCCGGAGGCACATCTCGGGGTTGGCGCGAATCGGGCCCACAATACAGTTGCAGTACGTTCACAGTTTTCCTTGCAGTGTGGTGCGCCGGCCTCCCTTAGCTCGGCCCGAGGCCGGTGGCGCTGCGGCCCTGCGGGGCCCCTGCGGGCGCGGGTGCCCGCCGGCCTAAGGCTGCTTCTTATGAGATTGCAGTGATGAAATTCGAGTTATGATAGCTTAGCTCGGGCGGCTGGCTGCCGGGCGGGGCGAGCGGACCGGCTGGCTGGTTGGCTCGCTGGCTGGCGGTCGGTTTCAGGATTAGCGTCCCTGGGGCCAGCCTAGCCCTAGGCCCGGCGGCCGTGAATGGGAAAGGGGTAAGGGGGGGGGGTCTACAGCGGACCGACTGTGATTGCTAGTACGATGAGATGGATACTTTAGCAAGAGGTCTGGAACGTCGTCAAGTTCAAAACAAAAGTTGAATCAGCCGTAACATATCAGCAGGCTTTGCACGCAGGCCCATCGCCCCTGGCGCCGAGCGAGTGTTGGCCATACTAGAGTTGGTGTGAGAGCGGCTGTATCGTACACGCGTGATTGACGGCAGTCTGTGACGACTCTGTGTGTGTGAATTTGTAACGCTTTTAAGGGAAGTAAGTGTTCTAGGCCGCGCCGCGCCCCGCGCCAGGGCTGCTGTGCGTTATAGCTCGATATGTTTGCGGCAGTTTAACGCCGCAGGGCGTGGTGGTGGAGGCGGCTGCTAGGGCGGGGCGTGGGGCGTGGCGAGGCCTACAGCCCGGTTGGCCCACGCGGCGGGAGCAGTTCACGGGTCGTGAAATTTTGTTGCTTCGGTTCGAGGCGCGCGGGACCTCCTTAAAGGCAAACAGCTCTCTTTGAGCGATCAGTAAACATGTAAGGTGTAGGCTGGGGCGGGGCGCAGGGCGGGGCGCGCACGGCGCTCCTTCCACACACCCTCCCGCGCTAACCTCCCACCTCTCCGGGCGGGGAAGAGAGGAGAGTATAGACGGATAGAGAATCGGGAAGGTGAATCGAGTAATGGAAACAGAGAAAAACTTCGCGGCAGCGCTTCTGCTGTGAAACGCATGGGGATCGAGTAGCAGCTGCGAGGGGTGGGGTGGCGGGGTTGGCGGGGGCGTATCGAGGGCTCTCTGCTCGCCGCGGCCGGGGAGGGTGAGGATGATCCGTTCAGCGCGGCTTTCACAACTTGGCACCCTCTATTTGCCAGTAAGTAATTCACCTTAAGATATACCTGAACTACTCACTCGGCTTTGCTTTTCCATCTTGCCCCTCCCGCCCCTGCATTCTCTCGTTTCCCATATGGTCCGAGGGGACTAAAAAATTGAAAATAACGAAAAGATGGGGATAAACACGGCTTGGGGTAGGGAGATGCTGAGATCCGATCAGGGTCTCAACACCCCCTCTGCAGCCACATTGCAACCGAAGCATGAAAGATCGGAAACGTGAACTTCGAAAAATGCCTTTTCTCCTCGTCGTCGAGCCAAAGCAGACGGAATGCCGAAACGTATGACAATGTACATCTTTCCCCACGGGAAAAAATGCAAAAAAAAAAAAAGTTTTGAGATTAACGATGCGATGACGCTCTCTTTTATCGCGGAGGGATATGCAGAGAAATGAAATTGGCTTGGGAGAAGTTTGAATTGCGGCACGCCGGAAGTTAATCCCCGGCGCTACTTCTTCTGCTTCTCTCCCTGCTTTTTGTCCCTCTCTTTCGCTCGCCCGCCAGCAACGCCGCAGGGAAGCTGGATTGCGGGGGGCTTCTGCTTTGCTAAAAATTACGGCCATTTTTTTTTTGGTCGCCTCGCTGTCCGCCGTTGCCGTGTCCGTTGCTGGCTGGTAGTTGGTCGGGCCACCGCTGCCAGGCCAGGCTAGGTCAGCCAGGCCTGTCAAGAGTGTCGAAGCGCGGTGAAGTAGTTGCCTCCACGCTCCCCAACCCCCTCCCCTACCCCTTCGACCCCGCTGTGCCAGGCCCCTCTGCGAAACAACTTTTTGCGGAGCGACGCGTCCGGCCGAACTGGGGGATTCCTCTGCGGCCCCCTTGTACCCTATGGGCCCCCCTGTGGCCCCCGCTACCCCTCGACGGCCTCCTCCCCCAGCTCTGGCCGGCCGCGCACCACCTGACTATAAATATCTGAGCCGAGTCAAGGCGGGTTTTCTCCTCCACGGAGAGTCCTGCTGGCCGACCAACAACTCTGGGAAGATCAGTCGATGCAAAGCTCAAAAGGACTGTGTCTGGCCTGTATTGAAGGGCCTAGAAAAGTTGCTGACTGAAGTATCCCAAATTTGTGATTTTAATGTCTAAAATTGGTTAAATTGGAGGGTGTTCAGGCGTACACACCATGTTTTCAGCCGCATGTCACCGAGCATTTGCCTCACCCTATTGTTTTGTGTTGCAGGTGAGCGGTTCGACGCAGGTGGACGCAGGGGCAGAGGAAGAGGGAATGCTACCGTGACCGTGGGATGCGAAAAGGTAAAGGGGGACTCGGGAGCCGGCGCCCGGCCGCCGCTTCAAACGTGAGCGGATAACTTAATTTATTGCCGCCTTTTAGCGCCTCTTGGCGGCGGGGGCGGGGCGGGGCGGGGCAGGGCGCCTGGGCAGGGCGGCGGCTCCGCGCTCCGCCATCCCCCGCCCAGTCCGCGCGCCAAACTCCGCCAGCAACCTTGCTCCAGAAAAATAAGATTCCACGCGGGGGTGGCGGCGGCCAGGCGGCGGCTGCTCAATTGGAAACGGTGAGAAAATATGACGTCAGTTTGCCCGGCTTTCAGCTTTGGTCAAGATGAGCAGTAGAGGCCCTCGCCTTTCCGCTCTTTTTTCCCCCATTTCTCCTTCTTCTTCTTCTTCTTCTTCTTCTTCTTCTTCTTCTTCTTCTTCTTCTTCTTCTTCTTCTTCCCAGGATGGTCCTGCGGAAGGAAAGTTACGTACAAGAAGAACACTTTGGTGAACTGGTCGCTCCCAAATCGTGAAAGGCTGACCCACCCCAAGGACAGAGAGAGAGAGAGAGAGAGAGAGAGAGAGAGAGAGAGACGGGAGAATTGGAGGGACGGAGGGAGGAAAGGGAAGGGCCAAACTACATCCGGACAAATTTAGGCTCGACCGGGCTAGCTTGATGTGGTCTACTGTGCCCAAGTTTTCTTCCTCCGTTGTATGCGTGCTTTCCTCTGTGTATGTGTGTGAGAGAGACGTGAGAGAGTATGGTCGAATAGGTCGATGGAAAGATTTTAACTGAACATTCCATATTAAATATTCTCCAGTTATTGCAACCAGTGAAGTCATTTTGTGCCACTCTGTTCACGGTAAAAACACGTCTTGGTTTCATGTTGTACAAGTAAAACTAAGAACCCCCTGTGCTTGCCATATTTTCGAAACAGAACGTGTCGGTAGAGCGCCCCAAACCGCATTCGCGCGTTTAAGTGTATGTGTCCTGCGATTCCTGCGATTCCTGCGATTTAAAATTCCGGCATCGTGATGGATTTGTGAAATCAAATCCAAACCGTCCGCCCGGCCAGATTAAAACGCCGCCCACTCCCTCTCTGCCGCGTTTTCTCTCTTTCCTTCTACGAACCAACCCCCTCCCATCCACGCCATTTCCATTATGGCATTCATGGATATCGGCGCTTTGCCATTCTTTTTGTGCTGTGTAACGAGTGCGCGCGTGGAGCGGGTTTGTGCGAAAGAGCTGTGCGCGGGCCAAAAGCAACGCAGGCCTCACTCCCTGACGGCTGGATGTGATCGGAGAGGTTTATCAAATCGAAAGGGAAGAGAGATCACATGAAGTCTAATGGGCGTACAGTGTGCATGTCTGTTGGACGTGCCGCGGGGCGCGGCGCCGGCTGACTGAATTAACTGGGAAAGGCTGAAAGGTCGATCGCGAATAAAACAAAGTTTCGCGTCTTTGTTTAAGGTGGGGTGGGGAGTGCGAACCACAAACAGCTCCTATTGAAAAAAACTTAAGAAAATGATTACTTAATGTGTGCCTGATTTCGGGCAGGATTCTTTTGTTTCGTATACTCACTCGATTTAGCGCCCCTGTACTATGAGGCATGCTCGTGCAGGGTTGTCATGTCGCGATGTGGGGTCCCCTGCCGCATCGCTGCGCGTGATATGATGGGGAGTGGCGGGGGTGTGGGTTTGTATCGGTTGATACATGCCGACCAAGAGATTGTCGCGCGCGAGGGGGGAGAAGGACACACAGGATGAGACGAAGCCCCTGAGCTGCTTGTGGCGTTGCGGGCGGCCGT